CGAAAGCATTCTCTCCTTTGAGGTTAGCCTTCATATTAACGCCCGAATATATCGGCAAAAATACGCCCAAAAATTGGCGCAACTCTTCGCTCGAGTCCGGATCGTACCAAAGGATTATCAGTTTAGACAACAGTTGCGGTGAATACATACGTCCTATCGGTTAGTATACAATGTCATTAATTACAGTTTCTAATCATTTCATAGCAAATAATACCCAAAATAAATAGTTTTCCAATTCCTTGGGCTGTAATCAACTTAATTGCATCCAATTCTGAGTTCAGGTGTTTTTCTAACAAATCAATGAACAAACTCAGGAAACTGTCCTCGTCTTCGTCATCAGAGTTTTGGCCTTCGGATTCACTGCACAACACGTCCTCCGCATCCGATTCATCGACAATCGTCCGGTCGTTGTCATCATCCATGTCTTCTGTGCCATCATTTGCAACACTTCTTCGACTGTTATTATGAATACTTTGGTTCTCTTTGTCATTCTCGTTGTCATCCGTTAGCATTGTATTGCTTTTACTTTTATTCATACTCTTGTTTCTCGACTTGTGATCAAAACAACTCAATCCGTGAATACATAATATATCAAAAATACACTTCAATGCTGTTTCTTGAGGTAAGTCTGAGTCAAAGTTAAGCACCTATTAATCAAAACAACAATTAGTAGCAAATGACATAAATTGCATAAAACCTAAAAAAGTCAAATAAAAAGTATTCAATACCTGAACAAAGAGTGCGAAATATTTTTTGGCCAATTCTTGTGATATAAGGCACGAAAGGCCTAAACTCTTGACTGCAATATTCCTCACTTTTACATCAGATACTGGGATACATGGGATCACCTAAAAGGTCATTAATTAAAACATTATTATATTAATTAGAATAAAACAATTTCAAACAAAACATTTACCATTTTCTCAATGAGTGTCAGTATCATTGGATTAACAGTTTTAAAATCTCCAAATTGAAGGCAACCGCTGAATATTTGAAGGCATCGTTCGAGAGTTATGGGATCCTCCTGT